CTCTTCCCCTTCCCCTCCCCAGCTGATCCGTCCCCGTTCCCGCTCCGACCCCACGATGTCCTTTGCGGATCTGCTGGCCCGGTTGGGCGGGATGGGTCGTTTCCAGGTGACCTACGTGGCAGCTCTGGCCGTGCCACTGCTCATGCTGGCCAGCCACAACCTGCTGCAGAACTTCACCGCCGGCGTCCCCGAGCACCACTGCCGGCCCCGGCCCGCGGCCAACGCCAGCGCCGCGCCCCTGCTCGTGGCCGTGCCCCTGGACGGCCACCGGCGGCCCCAGCGCTGCCGCCGCTACGTGGAGCTCCAGTGGCACCTCCTGGGGGCCAATGGGTCCGCCAACGGGATGGCCAAGGGGATGGCCAATGGGATGGCCAATGGGATGGCCAATGGGATGGCCAAGGGGATGTCCAACGGGATGGTCAACGGGATGGTCAGTGGGATGGCCAACGGGATGGCCAATGGGATGGCCAACGGGATGGCCAACGGGATGGCCAATGGGATGGCCAACGGCACGGCCAATGACGCGCCCACCGAGCCGTGCCGCGATGGTTGGACCTACGTGGACGGCGTCTTCACCGACACCATCATCACTGAGGTGAGGGAGGGAGGGGGGACCCCCCAGAGCCACCCCCCTCCCCGGGATGGGGGCACCGCGGCGGCGCCGGGGCGGTGCCGGACCCCCCGTGTGTCCCCCCCGGGCAGTGGGACCTGGTGTGCGAGTCCAAGCGGCTGCGGCAGTTGGCCCAGTCCATCTACATGGGCGGGATCCTGCTGGGATCGGGACTCTTCGGGGTCCTCTCCGACAGGTGAGTGGGCAAATCCCCTCCCCAGATCGCCCCAGATCCTCCCATTTACCCCCACATCCCCCATATGTCCCCAAATCCCCCCCAAAACCCCCCAAATCCCCTCCATATCCCCCAATATCCCCCATATCCCCCATATTCCCCATCCCAGTGCCCCCAGTGCCCCATATCCCCGCTCCCAGTGCTCCCAGTGCCCCCAATGCCCCATATCCCTCTCCCCAGTGCCCCCAGTGCCCCCAATGCCCCATATGCCCCTGTCCCAGTCCCCCCAGTTCCCCCAGTGCCCCATATCCCTTTCCCCAGTGCCCCCAGTGCCCCCAGTCCCCCCAATGCCCCATATCCCCCATCATAGTGCCCCCAGTGCCCCCAATGCCCCATATCCCTCTCCCCCAGTGCCCCCAGTGTCCCATATCCCCCTGTCCCAGTGCCCCCAGTGCCCCCAATGCCCCATATCCCTCTCCCCCCGTGCCCCCAGTGCCCCATATCCCCCTGTCCCAGTGCCCCCAGTGCCCCATATCCCCCGTCCCAGTCCCCCCAGCTCCCCCAGTGCCCCATATCTCCCATCCCAG